AGCTAACGGAACAGGGGATCTAGAACAGGAGGGAATTAACAAAGTCAAATTGTTACTCTCGAACTTTCTTTTTTCTGTAACTGGAATGTCTATTTCTTGCCTGCGTAGCAAGCGTCGAAAGGGGTAGGACGGGAAAAGGGAGCCATGCTAGTGGTACGTATCCGAGTTTGAGCCACGTGATCTGAAATGAATTGTGCACAATCCCGTTTCTATTTACGCCAATTGATCTAGCTCCCTTTCGCCCAATAAGAAAGCCTTTAAAGCTTTAAAGTTGTCATACTGTAGGTCAGATCATAAAATTAATATTTTTGTTGTGTCTTTTATTTCATTTTTTGCCACAAAGCTATGTGGACCCTCGAGTCCTAAGGGAGAAACCGCGGGAGCGAACTGCCAATTAAATACTGATATTGGTTTACCTTAACCAGAAAGTTTGAATGTCTCTTAAACTATTACATGTACCTCCCAAAAATTTATCACTTCGACGTGTTCTGACGTGCGCAATCGCTCATCGACCTTAATTTCACATTTTACCTGTAGGTTTTAAATATTTCACAAAATGAAATTTGATGTAGAAGGGTTATGTCTTCTTTCTTTTTGTCCGAACGATTTTTTCCGAACGTTTTTCACTATGTAATGGTAATAGATGTTTCTTGGCAACTGATTCTGTGTGTTTAAATTAAACAGTTACCTTAGAAACGCTACTCAAGTCGCCCCATGTAAGGGAAGGCGGATTCCCGAATCCGGGAAGTTTTGTTTGTGAAATCTGGAATCCTGGCCTTTGGAATCCGGAATACAGCTCGAGGAATCCGGAATCCCACTAACAATTGAAATCCAGAATCTAAGTTCCTCTGACTAAGACTGGAATCCAGTACCTGGAATCCGCAATCCATGACATCGAATCCAGAATCCAAACTGTCTTGGATTCCTTTACATGGATTGACACAAGGCTGGATAGGGAGGGGGGGGGGTGGTGAGGAGAAGTCAGCAAGCTTTTGGGTAGTAAGGTGGGGTCTGAAATTGCTAAACAACTAAATTAACTAAATTAATAAAATTACTTTGATATAAAACCTGTGCTCCGTGTATCCTTTGGCCTAATTATTATTATCAAAGATAGATTTGTATGGTATGAAAACAAATATTTGGTCAAGTGATTGTCTAGTTAAGAATTTCTTGCAAGCGTACATTGACGCATCCATGTTAAGCATTATGAACTAAATAATGCACCTTGGTAGAAAGATGGCTGCACTGTACACATGTGTACATGTTTAATAATTTATTTTGCCTTGGGATTAAGTCATAACTGAGGTATTTTCTTTTTCATTCTGTTCAAGACCCAACCGAAGTTGTTGATGGACAAGTTTTTGAAGGTATTCCCATTGCCTAGACGATCATTCTCCGGGGGGGGGGGGAGGAATCCCATAAAAAAATGGGTGGAGATGCTCGTCGGAAAATTCAAATTAGACCCAAGAAGACCAATGTGGGTGTGGCTCAAGTGTAAGCTGACCCCTACGGGAGATTTCTGTGTGGTTAGTGTCAGGGCATTTTTTGTAAATTTCTTTATGCACAGTACTAAGCGAAGGACATGAATGGGTAAATATAGTAACTTTCCATCTCAACCACCCTAAGTGAGACCAAACTCTGCAGTTTACACCCGGAAAGCGAGACGACGAGTATTCCCGTCTTTTTTTATATGGGAGTTCCCCCCCCCCCCCACCCCCCGAGATCATTTAACTTCAAATGATCGGGTATCTCTATACCTATCTCACGGGATTTGAGTATTAATTACACTCAAGCTGTTATATAATTTGCCGACAATGAAGGAATAAGTACACAATCTCTTGTTAAATCTCAAGTGTTGCAAAAAATTAATAAATAAACAAGATAAGGCTAAAAAATCGACATCTTTGGCAGGGGGTGGAGGAGAAGAGCAATTTAAAGTCTTGCCTTTCTTTCTTATCAGTTTCTCATAAAAAGTGAAAAGCACACGAACAGATTGAAGTTTACATTCTCGTGTATATGTATGTCAAAGTTCACAAGAATTGTGAAAACACAGGTAGAATTCAGAAAATTTCATGAGAAAGATATCATTTTGTGAAATTTGACATTTACAGTCGAACCCCGCTATTTCGAACTCGGTTAATTCGAAGTCCCCACTATTTCGAAGGAAGATCGAATTCCCTTGGATTTACCCTTATGTTTTCAGTCATTTACTATCAGCTATTTCGAACTCGGTTATTTCGAATTCTCCGCTATTTCGAACTCATCGTTCTTTCCCTACACCTTAAATCAACCCCGTTATTTCGAACTTGTCAAAAACAAGAGTACGTACATAAGAGCACAGCTGGAAACGTATTGCATTTTATTTGAACTCGAACAGAACATTCAAAGATTTTTCATTGCAACAGCGTCTGCTGATTTATCCGACATATAATTACTCTATTTTTATTTAATCAGTGTCTTTCTTCATACAGTACTGTATTTTATTAAAAAATGATTCATTGTTATCAATTTCACGCTTCCCCGGTTATTTCGAAACTCCGCTATTTCGAACTTTTTTTCCATTTCCCTTGGGACTTCGAAATAGCGGGGTTCAACTGTACTTTCTCGGGCTTTCATTAGAGATAACTAATTACATGTAGCCCTTGAAAAATTTAAAAGAATACAATATGCTTTAAATTTATTCTGGTACAAGGTTTTTGTCCACTGAAAATTTATATTGCTTAATTTACTGGTGGATTCCGTCTTAATATTAATTAATACTTACTATTATCATTATTATTATAGTTATAACTATTATTATTATTATTGTTATTATTATCATCATCATCATCATTAACTTGTATGTACCATTCTATTGAATTAATTTTTGTTTTTTTAATTGTTTGTTTGTTGTAGACTCTACCCCCGCTTCCCCAACCGTTCCAGGTAAGATTTGTTGAATTAAGGAGCTCCCAGAAAACTCCTTTTTATTACTTTTTAGTGTTTGTCAAAAACGTCCTGGTCTATGCGGGCAATGTCGTGGTGGGTGCCACATTTTCTCATAATTCTTAAAAAACGATGTCAGCTTATTTTATCTTTCGACAACACGCGAGTTTTTCTTGAAAGCTGCCCAATTTTTTTGTCGCTATCCGTTTCCATTCTGCCCGTCAAAGGCCAGAGACATACAATGATAATTGAGGTATGGTAGTAGAGAAAGTTGCAATAAATAATGGTAATTGAACTGAGTGGAGTGCAATTTGGACTGAAATCATACAGGTCATTTTAAAATCAGACCAAAATTGCACGACACGAAATTCAATCACCATTTTATTAGAGCCATTTTGAAATCGCAGAATTCAGTCAATATCAATATTTATTTGATCAAGTAGCCGGCTTGTTGAAAAGCGAAAACATCTGAAAAGGCCTTTACATCTCATTATTTACCCGAACAGAAATGACGCAATAGAGAGCGAAAATGACGTGATTTAGAACATGAATGACGCGACTTGGAACAGATTTGATTTACAGCAAATTTTAAAAAAGTGAGATTCGTGAAAAAATCACACTGCTGAGAGCCAATCAAACTGCGGGGATCACCATTAATTTCAAAATGAATATAATAAAAATAGAATATAAAGCATTATTTCAAGATTTTCTTTAAGTACATAATAATCGTTTTAAGGTTTTATACCAAAAAATTGTGAAGTAGCTGATGCAAAGCGTGGTATTTGAGTAACATGCTTACTTCTAGAAACCTCAATTCAAATCAACTTGATGAATTGTATTAACATTTCATACACACTACTGCTCAGCTAATAAGGATTTACATTGATTTGTTATAAAAATCTCTACTGATTGTTTTATTTCTTCTGATTATGTAATGGAACATCGATAGGCTATGTTCACAATATACCAGATAGCTTTTAGTACCTACACCAAAAATTATTCGGTACAGTATGGACCTCAACTGCACAGAACAGGATTACATCAAACATCGCGCCAGAGCGATTGGCCGAAGGGTTGGTGAACTAAAACCCAGTCCTCACCTCTGAACTTTTATTTCCTTTGAAGTGGATTCCAGGCTTCTACCTTATTCACTGCCGCTAAGGTTTGAACACCATTTAACACTACACTAAAGTGTGACACAAATCCCATCCAAAATGTGATGCTCCACGTTTGATGAGACTGTCAGCTCGATGAAGCTTCGCTTCATTACAGTCAGTCATGCCAAATCACATCAAAAACCGGTATAGTGTATGCTAGCCTTAGATTGTTGTTTGTTGTTCTTGTTACTGCTGAAAATAAACAAAAATTGATATTTTTTTCTGTCTTGGAAAGCTATCATTCCTTTGATCATTTCTTCAAATAGAAGTGTAGAAGTACAATAAGGTTATATTAATAATCGGCTCTTGGTTAGATAGAAGTTCAATGAGGTTTACCTTTTTGTTTTTTTTTTCTGGGTCTGTTTTAGTAACCACCGACTTCTCCACCCCGACTATACCATCTCATCCAGGTAAGATTTTCACAATTACTTTATTTCTTATTGTTTCTTATATTTTCGTGACTGTAACGGCATTAGGTACACCACCCATCCCGGATGTATACTCTTTCGTTGAATCACGGGAACAAGTATTTTTTGGGTAAATGCCAGAGGTACATAATATTCATTTTGTTGCAATTGCTAAAGGTTGATTGTGTCAGACTGTAGATGGTAAGCCATCTAAGTCTTACCATCCTGTTAAGATAGGAGCTCGACTTTAATGCTGTCTTAATTTATATACTGTGTTATTCTGTTAAAATGGTCCCTTTATAAACAACTTGTAGATGACATAAGCCTGAAGTTTTCTACGTAGAGAGACTTACGTTTAGTCTGGTAAAAAGTAATAGATAATTGGTCACAACTGGAAAAAAGTTTTTTTCGTAAAAGTAAAATCCTACTTAAATTCAGTTCAATTAATTTTTTTTTTAAAACGAACCGTCTGATATCTGCAGAAATCAATGTTACTTGTGATCAGAACGTGATGGCCATCAGCATACCAAAGCGCCTTCTTCCCGCTTTGGACAAAGAGCATCTTCGTCTCATTGATGTAGACTGTGGAGCCATAGAAAGCAGGAACCATTACATTCTTCGTACAAAACTCACTGGGTGTGACACAGTCAGCAGGCACACCGAGAATTTTGTCTATTATATGAACAAGGTGGAGGAGATTCCCATCAAGCCAGGTCAGATCATCACACGAGTTCGGGAAGTGGAAATTCCCTTCAGCTGTTATTACTCAAACACAGGGGTCATATCCGCCGTTGGCCTTGAAGTTAGAAGCAAGAAAATCATTTTCTCTAAGAGAGGATTTGGAAAATTCGTGTTGGATATGAAAGTTTACCCAACTCCTAGTTTTAGTCTTGAGTACAAGAAAAAGGATTTCCCAATAGTCGTGCCTCTCAGGAAATTGTTGTACGTGAAAGTCAGTGTTGATTCAGATGACCGCAGGCTGGATGTCTTGGCAGTAGATTGCTGGGCCACACCAAACGCTAATCCTTTAAGTCCTGGATTGCGATATGAATTCATCAAAGATGGGTAAAAAGTTTACCTTGTTTTTTCACGTTAATTAAGATTAAAGGTTTGTTTATTGTGGAAAGGGTAATAGGCTTATCAAGGTAGATTACAGGAACCCCACTCAAACAATTAGAAACAAATTATTCAAATATAAAAAAAGCTCAACTGGCAGGAGGCAACCAGTTGACTCTGATTAACAAACGTGGCCAAGGATTTGAACTCGCAGAACAGAGAACAAATCCAGACGATCAGAGCAGAGCAGGATTCGATCCCTGGACTGCCGGATTGCAAGTCCGACCTGCTGACTACTCGGCTACGCTGCCTCCTCTTTTTGTAATCTTCCTACTTAATCCGTGAACAACTAGAGCTTGTGTGCAAGCCGTAAGAGTGCATGAGAAATAAATGGTTAAATAGTGAAAAATGTACGTTGACTTCAAAATCCATAATAGAATTACCTGCTGCATGCACCTCTTTTCTGGTAAGAAGTATAAAATGACTTATGGCGTCCCTGGTTAATGAGTTCTTGAAGGCTAATTTTCACTACCGATGAAGTCGGAGACGAAGTAGTGAGCAGCATGACCTTGTGAAAATCAAAACTCGAAGACGTGAGCGGAGTTATAAATGCAAAAAACCGTTAAAAGGAATCGGAACTTTTCTATTTTCTTCCTCTCTGATTCTGTCGTTAAGGACCTAGCAAAAAACACATTGTCGGAGTTGCATTCTGGATAAACCAATCACAATACTCGTTCCCTCTCTTTGTGATTGGTAAATTTCTTTCGCCTCTGCTTAAGACTCCAACAACCTATTTTTCACTAGACCTTTTGCGACAGAGTGGTAAGCAAGCAGTGGTAACCATGTCAGTTTTCAGTAGATCGTAGAACTCTACGCTTTATTTATTACTACTGGTCCTAATATAGCCTCCCACGCAGGCGTTTTTAAGGAGCTCGTACTTCGTCCCTCCCCAGAAACGCTTGCGTGGGAGGCTAGCCGGATACGACTCCAACCAAGAGCTCTTGTTCCGACTTAGTCGCTTGTGAAAACCAACCTCATTACATAATAATTATGTCGGTATTGATATCAACATGTTCTTTTAGGTAAAGAAGATTTCATAAGGGAATAAGGCTCTAAAATAACGAATCCCAAATCAACGGAGGCAAATTAGCTGGCTATTTACAAGCGTGGCTGAACATTTGAAGTCGGGACCACGGTGAAAAAATCCAGTAAGCAGTCACTAATCGCTCTGCCATGCTGGCTCCACCCATCTGTTTCCTTTATAAATACAATTCAAAATATTAAATGAATATTTCATTCTGCAAAGACAAAAACGGGCAGATAGGTTTTCAGTTAAAAAAGGGAAAGTAACTCAAAAGGTTCAAGACTTCTTTTCTTCATGTCTGTCTCTTTTAGATGCCCGGTAGATGATACCGTGATGGACATTCCGACAGCAGACAAGCGGATGCAAAAATTCAAACTTGAGGCCTTCAGTTTCATAGGTGACCATCCGTTCGTGTACATGCATTGCAAGGTCTTGATTTGTAACGCAACCGATCCTAACTCACGTTGTGCGCAGGGCTGCGTTAATCGAGCAAAGAGGTCCCTGATGACTCAAGGATCCAAGAACGAGGAGGTACACTTGTCCCAGGGACCATTCATGCGTGGAGATGATGAAAAAGATAAAGAAGAAACTAAACTGGAGGAAACGGAGAAAGACATGCGTGATACGGAAAAAAGTGGTAAGTTTAATGACACAGGCTTCATTAGGTCAAGTAGTCGTGTTTTATACCTAATCTTCTGCATCAAAAAACTGAGTTGTGTAATACTGTATTCTGCAGGTATGTTTCCCACTCTGGTCGCTGCAATGGCTGTGGTTGCTGCCGTTTGCGTCATGGGTGTGTCTTACTTCGCCTGGGCCAGCAAGAAACGAAGGGTTGTGCGTGATTATCAACGACTCACTGTTACCGCTGAAGACTAGAAACCTGCGATCGAATAAACGTTTCTAATTTTGTTGAGTTTAGGCATTTCTGTTTGTTTTAAATGTGAAAAAAACAGGTCATTTTTGAGAAACCAAACAAGTTATCCTCTTCCCATGTTTCCTTTTTACCCTCATTCAAAGGAAAGGTTTTTACTAAAAGCTAACTGTAAATTCACTGAATCGCTTACCTAACCTCGCTTACCTCGTTGGCATGACATAGATGACCAAGAGGTATTTTCCGACACTAAAGTTAATTAACTTTCTCACTGAAGGCTTCTCTCCTTCTTTAAAGCCTCTATGCGTCACAGGAGTTACCATACAGCCCCGTCTCTACAACGAGACTGCAATTCAGTCATCATTTATAATGAATTCTGATATTCAAAATAAAAATTGCACTTTTATTACACTTCTTGATTTAAGAGAACTTCACTGTACGCTTCCTTTTATTCCTGACTTTACGTGTTTACCCATTCATAGTCCTCATTGTTGTAATACGTATCTGACCCATTGTGAAAGGTGCTTTACGTATTCTCTTTGTTTGTACGTATTAAAGTGATACTGAAGCTTCCACTCTACTATGTATTTTTATATATTTTGTTGTGTTCAAACGATTCTATTGTTCGCTCGTCCTTATAATTTTCCAAGTCAAAACAATCCAAAACTCTTCGCGGGGATTTAAAAAAATGCTACTTTACGAGAGAAGGAGAAAAGCATTTGACTATTTACGGCTTGACGTAATAATACCTCAACTAACGTCAAGACGTTATTGCTTGTAGTAATGTTTCTTGCTCCTGATGTTAAAATCATCTTTGTTAGCCCTGGAGATGTTGCTGTATGATCTCTGACTTCTTATTAAAGAATTTAAATTATTATCATTCGCAATTGCCGCTCCCTCGTTAGAAGTGGCACAGAATTTGTTGTGAAAGTTAACTTCGTCGTCTTCTTCCTCCTGGTGCTCAAAGTGATCGGGGACTACGTTATCTCTACAGTCATCAAAATCGTCGTTTCTTCCATGACGCCTTCCATCGTTATCAGCTCCGTTCTGCTCACGGTGGAGAGGCTGCTGCTGGTGACGATCGTACCTTTTGGTACAAAAGTAGACAATCAAGGGTCCAGCAATGGCAACAACAGACAGAGTACCAAATATTATGTAGATTTGCTCATCAGTTAGTCGAGCTGAAAAAGTAAGGGGGAGGGAAATGCCTATTTGTCAGTAGGGAAAGAAAACTAAAAGCGAAATATGTCTGAAGTGCTTTGAAGATCACAAGTTAAAAAAATGAGACTCTTAAGGCGTTATTTTTAAAAATACAACATGATATAAAGTATTCGTGTCAGATATCATCAACACCTTACATGGTTGACAGCCATTAGGGCATGCGCACTTGTGGGTCACTTGAAATGTCTAGAGAGTAAACCACACGATCAATACAGTGATTTCAGCCACATGACCAGTGACTATGTTTCTTAGATAAAAGAGATCTTCACATGAGAAAAATATTACATTTTTCAGACTGATTAATGTGGTAAACTGGCTTAATCAATTTAATAATCACACTAGCTAGCAGGGTACTTTATCCGCTGATGTTTGTAAAGAACAAGACACATTTCACGCACGAACTTTATGGTGACGGATAAAGAACGATGGCTAATCTGTAATTAACATTATCCTCATTTCAAGGAAATAGGACACGGGAGGACAATATAATCTTGAGTCCCCGACGGGATTCAAACTTATGATTTCCCAAACATCAATCAGGCACTCTCCCCACGGAGCTACGGAAACACTCAAGGAGTGTTTATTAGTTTCTTGAAATTCAGTGTTGTAACGTTGCATCCACTGGAAATGCTCTCGGATTTTAACACAGAAAGGAAAGATTTGAGCCATTTCCAAATTACCTCTATCCATTTTTTCGAAAGCGAGCACTGGAGCTCGTTCTTTCATCTAGTAACTTTATAGATTACTTTGTTGATGAAAATCTTTTGTTTTTGGCACTTTGGAAAAAAATAACAAAATGCAAACGAAGGGGCAAAAGTGCTGTCTGGTAACTCCAATTCTACAAAGCCAATTAAAAGTAATCCATTGTTCTAAGTTCGTGAACGTCCTAGGGAATCTTTCTGTATAAAGAGGCTGTCCATACCAAAAATAAAAGCATTTTTTCCTCAAATGTTTTGAACTGATATACGACTTACCATGGCCGCGGGCCAGTTATCATGAATTATTTCGAACTTAGCATCTTTTATTCTTTTGAGAGACGGATCGCACTTGAAGTTAATTGTGGCTGTTAAAGAGGGGTACAACCTGGAAAGCAAAGATTTCAATTAGCAATTAATTTTTAAGGGCCAACATAAATTGTAATGTTCAAGATTTCGCTACTGTTAAGTGTAAGACGTAGTAGGGTCGCTATAGCAACGGTTAACCCAGTCAGTACATGTTCTTATACCCTGTATCAAGTATGGACAGTCACTGTTAAATTCCAAAACATTTCCCACTTGCTTTCTTCTATTTTCCCCCACCGATACGTTGAAAACATAGATTTGGGCCTCATATGCACCCATGTCTTTAGACATACTTTGAGTTTTGGTATAACAGCTGTGGTGACCTGGTATCCGTATTGAAACCACAACTTGCCGTGGACTGCTTTCCAATATTTTGGAATTTTGATGCCCTTCTGTTCCAGCGACAAATCTGAAAAGAAAACGTAGAAAACCCTAGTCAGAAGTTGAGTATTCTCACGCAAGATTTGAATGAAGTCTAATTGGTCCTAATTGTCCTAAAAATATGCAAAGTAAAACAAAGGTAACGAGTCTTCATTTTACGTCGGTAGCTCGAAATAGTCCTCTGACTAAGGGCCCGCTTACATTTATATAGGGGATGCCAGGTAGGTGAGGTAACCAGCGGCAGGTCACCCCACCTATCATGTAAACGGGATCAAACTAAAATGAGAGATTATATGGAAATCCGGGTTACGCCACCTAAGCGGGTTACCCCACCTACCTGGGGTCCACGACCTCCACGTAAACAGAAAGAAGAGTCGAAAAAAGGATTTGTGGTCACGCCTATGATCGAACTCAGGATCACCCGCACAGAAGGCCGCGCACTAACCAAATGTGCTCATCCTTCCTCCTTACCAACGACTAAAAGTGTTTTATGATTTTTACTCGGGTCACATCATCGAAAAGTAATCAAAACAACTTACAGCTACGTCTCTAAAATAACAGCTGTTGTTACTAGGCGGTCCAAGCCCGAACGTTTGACATGGATTGTAGCTATACATATATTTATCTGATCCTGAAGCATTAAACCTGCTGGAATAACAAAAAGTCCTTAGTAAAGGTAAATTGGACCTTACTGAAACATATCATTTCTCTTTTTCTCTAGGAACTTTATGACAAAGAGTGTTAATGGGACCACGTACACATGACTCACCTGAATCAAGCGTTAGCACTGAGAGTAAGGGTTAAAGTTATGGTGTAATGTTTTCTGCGTCTCGTGTAAAGACGGCATGAACTTTTAGACTCGCTTGGTTCGCTGCTTGTCGTTTTAGATTAACAAACGCCTTGACCTTGATAAATCTTTCTCTGCCCATTTTTAAACTAACACGCCGCTACAATTATCCGGATTCATAATTCAACTGTTGTTCGTCATTAAGCACAGATACAAATAAGGTCTCAGTAATGTCAAGGGTAAGCCTAGGGGAAAGGGTGTAGCAACAATTGAACTGCGTCAAACTTTACGCACCCTTAAATTATAGTCGGAAAACCAAGACCACAAGGAACGGCTTTTCATGTACAAGAGCTGCTTTACGAACCTTGGTGATCCATCCCGGCTTTTTAGTGGGGCAAGGTTATAAATTTTGTCGTCTACGATGCAGGAGCATATATATGATTGGCCCTGGTCTGGCTCGGATATCTCGTTTCCGACAGCTAGTTGAAATAGAAGAAAGGTAAACAAGACAGCTGCGTATTCAAATCTTCTAACCCAACACATCCGTTGCATACTGTTGCAAACGCTAAAAAGAGATATACTCTCATAGTTAGTTTACATTACTTGACAGTCAAATCAAGCTCTACTTGACTGAAACAGTAAGATACAGCCAATTGCTTATCATGGAATAGAAACTTAAGTTACTAGTTCGAAATTGCCAAATGTTCAAAGCCATGTTTTATCATTTATTCTTCAGTTTTACAAAACTCTTCCCACTGGGTGTAATCTCGTTAACTGTGCAATCCTCCAGACAGCCTGCGGCCGGTCTCCTGCCTTCCACAAGTGTTCCTTAACAATTTCGACAGCTACACTTTGATGTGATTGGCATATGCCACTTAACAAAAGGACGACAGCGTGTCCTAATTTTCTCGTTTGGTTGGGCGTGACAGTACAAGTTGGTTCAAATATAGTGGACGGATGGTCAGTCAGTGACCAGCGGTCAAGTGAAAATTTGATGATGTTATATTGTAGGGGTTTGCTTACGGAGCTCCGCTACAAGCTTACTGTCGACATAGGAAAACAAGGCGAACACGAATTGAATGGCTGGTTTCCCGGGTCGGTTTTCAACACTAGTGTTTATAGGGAAAAAACATTGTGATCCCGTGAAGAATCGAAATTACACATCACTAAATATAGTAAATGTAACACTAAAATATCCAGAAAAGACTGTAACACGACCCCAATGAGCGGAAAACTAGTGTAGTGACCTCCATATCATACTTAATGCCTACTTTTAAAGTAACATTGCCTTCTTAGTCTAAGATCGTGATGCGTTTTACTTCAAACGATGAAAAATGGGTGGTTGACCCTTAGTGCGTCTCAGGAGTATTGAATACCAACAACAATTGGATAAAGCAACTTAGTAATACGTAATTATCACCGCCATATATGACTGGAATGCATACGGCAAGACATATCACATGGAACAAAAAGTTCCTTTCCTCTTTCTTACCTTTCTAAAACTTAACTTTCCTTTTATCTCTCCTTTCAGTATTTGTGTCCCTCTTGTTTATACATTCTACAAGGAAGCTTTGCGAATCGGTCATGAATGTCTTGCTGCCAATTCGGAAGGTCTTGGAACAATCGACTACATTAACTCGTACGGTTCGGTTTCTCGGAAAGACTAGGGCATCACGTGACAATAATGTCAACTTATGTTTCTCGTCACGCAAGACCAGGTCGATGCTTTTAACTTCAAGGGGTGGGCAAGTAAGTCGGGCTTGTAAAGCCCTGTAGTGCGACTAGAAGGGGTCGTATTAATATTACTAACTTTCAGACAGGTCCCCAAACTGGAAAGAGCTGCGTCTAGAGGTTGGAAAGCGGATAACGCAATCCACCAAATAACTCTCTATCCAGTGAATAACGAGATTGGTTTCGCAAACACTTATCCACCGGATAGTGATTTATCAGGCGAATAGCGCTATCCATCAGACTTTGAATAACCGGAGCCTGTACCAAAGTAGTTATCGCCAAAATAAACCGCGTGAGAGGCTTTGGGAGAGAGGGATTCGACAAATGTCACATTTCGTTTGGAATGAGAAAAAAGGTATTATTCTAATTCTCTGGATAAAATATACATCAAGGTACAGGACCGCTCATGCGTGGTCCCTTTATCGTGAATGCTGGCTCCCATCAAGAAGATGTTTTCACGTGTATGCCCACATTTTTTTACGTAAAAGTGACTAGTGAACAAAGAGAAGAATTCATGATTCAAGTACGGTCTTTTTTTTATGTGTAACATTACCTAGCTTACTCTAGTGTGACCAGGTATTGTCGTTTACGTTCCAGTATAATTTTCTTAGTCAACTGCACAAGCGAGGTCAAACAAAGCCCCAATTGCTGTAGGGGCTAGCCTGAAAAAATGTCGAACGTGAGTAAAGACAAAAACAAAACAGACTGTGAAAAAGACAAGGCAAGGGGAAAGAAAGTTAAATGAAGGATGGCTGGAAACTGACGAAGTAATTACCGATGTAACTATGCTTTACCGTTTGGGGGATAATTTTTTCAAATAAAAATGTAATGTATTTCACAGCCCCGATACTAATGTACACGCAAAAAGAAGTGTCTGCTGCTGGCCTCAAAAAACACGGTCCTAAGACCAAGAGAGATGATTTCCTTATAATGACAAAAAATGGAAATTTAATCAGGTCTTTCGCAACAAAAATAATAATTTGGGGTACGGAATAGGGTTGATTTTATGGTTAACCGATGATGGTGTCAAAATGCACTTTATAGTCCTGAAAAATTGGTTTACCTTTTTTCAGGAAAATGGGACAATAAACCTGACACATTCATTCTAGTGAAAAAGATGAATTAAAGAAACGCACTGCTTAACGGTGAGATGCACTTGACTGTCTAATCTCTTATCAAGGCTTAGACAAAAAGAAAAATCTGTGAAACTAAAGAACGGTTCTGTCAATCAGTCGGCGTCTGCGAGTCCAACGATTTAGCAAAGCCAACCCATGGCCAAAGTATTGTTCCTTACTCTGGACACGCCAACTGCGCATGCATTGTCAGATCCACTTAATTTTTAGTATGGTGCCGAAAACTGTAACTCTTTGAATCATTTGTTTTTTTACCTACTCGCTTCGTTGCTTTTAAGAAAAGATGAGAGGTCGACTTGTAGCAAGTCTGTTAAACTGCGAGAAGACTCAGCTCCATTCACTTAACATTCTTCACTTCCACTACATACGTTCGTAAATTTAACAAAGAAGGAGAAAAAACTAAGCCGAGACCGTGAATATGAAACAGGCTGATTTATAACAAGCAGTCACTCCTTGAAATCTGGCATAACCTGCGCCGGTGGCAGGTATAAATAGGAGGGGGGAGGAGGGGGGAGGAGAAAGCCAATCCTGTGCTCTATCTGGCCTCACCCTTTCTATCGGTACTCTATTCTGTACCCGCTAGCCATTCTCATTGGGTCCAACAAACAAACGAGGCTATTCCAGTACGGCAAGGTTTATTTGGTCATGGTTTCTTGGGATAAGAACTATTGTACACTAAAACTCTAATATACACTTGAATTACTGAATGTACCACCAAAGGGTAAAAATAATAGGTAAACTTTTAGAACAGCCCTTATTTTTGTAGCAGTCCTTTCACCTTAATCACACCTAGAGCCGATATGGTGGCAAAAAAATTTAAGAGTCTATGATATTAGTAAAATCTCTCTATCACTACATTTGCATGGTACTATTCGTTTTTCTGTATTTTAGACAATTAAACTTCAGATTTTTCGCGGCAAATTTTCATACTGGCTACTGCCAGAAGAGACAGGGTTAAACCAACCACGCATATCTAACCCCAGTTTACCTCCGCGTGGAGCTGTTTATGCTACGCTTCAATGGTTTCTCATTCTTTTCCCTGTTAGAAGTTGCTCTGGCTATTTTCACTAGTATCAATACGTCGATGTGAGCATCTCAATCAACCCATTTATCGGCAGAAGGGAATAGCCAAATTACTATACGCATAAAGCGAGAAATCTTGATAAAACGTTCTCGCTGACATGGCAGCTATAAGCCAAAAAGTACATCAACCTAAGAAACTAAAATTGTTTATAAAAAGCTAAAATCAAATCCTTAGTACAAAGTATGTACGTAACACTACGAAACAAAGTAAAAATGTCCATCACTGTATTAACTACATGATGGAAAGTTTTTTAAAAGTCATTAAGAAGTAGATGACGAAATTTATCTTACCAATCACTTCTTCATTAAAGGAAAATGTTCCATAGATTTACAATAGCTACAACTGATAGATTTACCAAAACTTTGATTAAAGTTTAAAAATGGTTTGTAGGATGGTCAGTTAGCTATTTCCAAAGCGTAATCCAAGAGTAAAATCAGACCCCAGTTGCTCGATCAGTAGATGGATAGAACTGTCTAGCGGATAAACCACAATACAGTTATTACGTGTCATAGCAACTACAGTTAAACCTCCCGTTAGCGATCGCCCTAAAAGGGAAGATTTAGTGGTCGCTTTAGGGATCGAGCAACAGCAGGTCCTCACTAGAAAGGGTAAGAACATGCAATTTCATATAGTTACGATATGACTGTGTAGTTTCATGTTTTCACTCGCATTCATTAGAGATCATTAAACCATACCTTAAGTGGTCGCTTACAGGAGAATAAAAATAGCGATTTATCTCCAAAGAGTGTTACCCAACATTTGAATAACAAGTACCAGGTTTAATAATTAGAATTATAATTACAGTCCGACTACCATAACCGGGACCACAAAATATCAGCTTTTGTCAAACAAATATGTTTACTGGGTGGTATATGTAACGTTTCGAATAGAAATACATTGTCTGGTGAAATTTCTACTTTCTTGAAAGACGTTTGCTATCAATATTAAATATTGTGCTCCGAGTAATTAACTTGCTTTTTTATTATTGTTATTATTTTTTATGAGCTGTTGATTGACCCACAACCAACTTGCTTGGATTGTATTGTTATGTTCCTGTTATCCGATTGGTCAAATTTGTTTACGTGGCCCCGGTTGCAGTGGTCGCACTGTAAAAAGATGAAATTAAACTTAGAACATCATTCCAGTCACTAAGCTACACAATACCTCTAATTTTTTTGCAAAGACGCAAACGTTTGTTAATCTTACATTTTAATTTTTTGGGCTGATACACCCATGTACATCACTGAGTCCTCGGCAATAAAGGTTGGAAGTTTTATCAATGTTGTCGAGCAACCGGAATTTCATACGATGAATATCACTGGAAGTCAGCTAGTTCAAAAGAGGCTATCTGATAACTGCCAGTATAAAAAAAACCGAGGAAGTTAACATTGTAAAACAACGACATTTCTTTATATGTACATTCGTAAAAGTATTTTTTTGTGTGTGTGATATTGTCATCGTAATAACGTTATCTCTGGCTGAGGCTATTTTATTAGCGCCTCTAAGGTGAATTCGTCCAATCTGGCTCTTAAAAATAAACTTAATAGTCTCGCCGCAATAAAACTGCATCTCGTGCATGCTAAGCTAACAGAGCAAGTTAGTCTTGCAAATAAGGGTTTTTTTATTTCCCGCTCCCAATAGGAAACGTAGACAATTGCAAGTTCGCAACCTTGCAGGCCTGAAACTGATTTATAAAAACAAGATTCCCTCTCTATTGAGTTCGTATTCCCACACAGAAAAGAGGCATTACTTGTCAAGCCAAGGCACCTAGCACCTCTCTATATTTCCGTGTCTTGCTCTGCTAAGTTCATTATTTATGTTATCTCTTGGATTATTACTACCCGAACTACCTCCAGGCGGGCAAGGTGCATTCTGCAGATCTTCGGGGCGAGCTCCATAGTCCTCTACACCATTTCCATGAATAACAGGTTGCCTTTCGTCGTCGTCTTCTTCAGCTGGCCTTCTCCTAATATACCGCCAGATGCGCTTGCGGTAGTAAAGCGCTGGAACAACAAGAATAATACCTGATAAAGCACCTAATGGTATGATGTACTCCAGCTTATTTACACCACCACCTGAAAATAAGGAAAAATAGTCTTAAGATCGGCTCCAAAGGCTTTTTTCTTCAACCGTCCTTTGCAGTTGCTGCTCCACGTAGGTCATTTAACGTTCTCAGGGGAATTACTTAAAATTTCTTTTCATGGATTACGCAAGGATACAGTTGTATACAAGTTTATGTGACGAACTTTGAAAGCACAGTTCCCTTGAGTAACAAAAACCCGTCAAATGGGAGAACAATTAACCTAAGTTAGTCCTAGGCCAAGGGTCGTACTTTTCATGAGACGAACCAAACTCTCATTTGGATCAACCAAAATTAAGTTAAGATCGTCTGTTGAGTCAGACGTCGAACTTAACAAGGGTCAAACCAATCAACTGAATCAGTAATAAATCAGTAAAAAAAATTTCTCCCGAACGAGGCTAAAAATGCCTTATCATACAAAACTTTGATGCAGGAGTTTAGTTCGTCGCATGCGAAGATCGACGTTTACCCTGGGGACTCCAAACTCACTAAGTTTGGTTCTTCTCATGAAAAGTTTGACGATTGGCCTAGGCCTTAGTAAGGTCTACTGCATGATGTTATTGCCATTGTACTGAGTATCGTGTGGCTTATGTAGGTTTCAGTGTAGAATTAAAGTACCTGTTTGGGATGACGGGTCGTCTGGATCGCTTGGACAACCATCAGGACATGAACAAATACTAGTCAGTAAAAATCTCTACAAATAAAAAAAGACAAAAATAGACTTGAGTGCCAACAGGACGCTTATGGCAACGTCAACGCTCATCTGTATTTAAGTATCGAAGATTAATCTAACCAGAACGTTTGGTATTCCCAATTCCAATTGCAATCCTCGAGAATGAGTTTCAATGACATGTCTTCAATAGCCCGAACCTGTCGATTGTTTACTTGTTTGTTCATTTAATGTTTCCAATCCTCAAAACCGAAAGTGAACCCAATAGGAAACTTCGTAGACTACAAGTCTTTAAAAGTAAAGCAAGTTCGCAACCTTGCAGGCCTGAGACTGATTTATAGAAACAAGATTCCCTCTCTATTGAATTCGTATCCAACACAGAAATTGGAACGTAGGCTAATTATATGAGGTATGATCAGCTTTAATATTTTACAAAGCAAACCGCTTAACTCGAGGGATTTAATAAGGCTAAGAATAACGATACGTAACACTGACTACAATAAGAATGAGTTTGTTCCTCATGTTCAATTTTAGTCGTGTCTTGTGCGTGAGATAGTGCGGTGTAGTCGTTTCTTTAATACACTCCATTCATCCCTCCACACAAGTAAAATTCAAAACTGATCTACTTTCCTGAGTCAGTTTTGTAAAGAGAGGCTTCCATTAACGTTCATTTCACAGGACAAAACGTGAAACAGGGGGCAAAAATGCAAACAAAAAAGGGTAGGTGTGGACGGGGAAACACAGTGGCCGTTCAGTTCTGTTCAAAAACACTTTAAGACGTCCTTGATGCAATCGCTAGAAAACGACCATAGACAGTGTAGAAAAGTAGTGTGTAGTTCTTATTTACATTTCATTTAATAGCTATATACCAGTTTCACTTACCCAAATTCCTTTAGTATCACTGATATACTCGAAAAGTGCTTCCTCGGGTGTTTTCTTTGATGGGTCGCACTTGAGGTCGACTATAACTTTTCGATTCGGAAAAGACCTTTAAATACACAAGATATATTAGGTAACTTGAAAATTAATGTCCTGTTTTGCGAACGGGCGAGATGAAGCTAATCCCGTGTTCTGATTGAATGTTTGAGCACGCAAGATTGGCAAAGCTTGCCCATTCCTAACTGCTCCCTTTGGCCATGCAGGAAAAGCTTACTTCCTATGGTCCGTTTATTGAGCTTGTTCGGTAAGATTGTAGGATGGTCTCGTTCGTTTTCATTCCTCAGCCGTTTTGAATACCCTTGGCTTTTTCTCGGACCAAAAGCTAATATGAGCTAAGCAAGGCGAAAATGGCGTCAGAGGCCTTCGCGCGAAATGCCCCTTGGCTTCGCTTGGCTCATAAAGTGCCTTTCAAGCAGGCTAAAAATACGCCAAAAAGGAACTTGGCCGATATCTAGCCATTATGACCTCAGACTTTGTAAATAACGCATATATCATATTTATCATCATGTATAAGACGTAGTTACGCTCAACTTGTGCGAGTTCAACTAAAATGATTATTCAGACAAACGGCTCCGCATTTAATGGGGTGTCAAAAGGGATACTTGAAACAAAGTTTGTGGCCGAGGATTACTGAACCTAACAAATCAGAAGTAGGCCTGGGTTTAATCTAATAAAAAGAAAGAAACGCAACAACTTACTCTGTATTGGTATAGACAAGCTGTGGTGTGTTCGTCTCTTTATTGAAACCATAATGAAATGAGCTTTGCGTACCAATCAGTTGATACCGTGCTTTGTTTACAGTACCCATGCAAACCTGATTAGGAGAAAAGAAAACCATCTTTCAGATTTGTCTGTATTGGTATGATGTATTAGTATGGTAAACGTCCCCCTGTACTCATTGAACCTTCCTCAAAAATTTAGTTTTATCACATGAGTCGATTATTAGTAAGTCAAATTATCACTGTCAAACGAATGAAAAGCTAGAATGTTAAGCGCTAGCCCTTTTTTAAAGAGTAAAATGGACCATGTTCTATACTCTTATCGACCATGACAAATAACGTCAACACGGTCAAAACTCAAGTGGAACCACGAGACCTGAGCAATGTTTTCAAAACAAAGTTTTCTGTTACTATAGCAAGTTAAACAACTTACAGCCACATCTCCGAAACAGTCACTTGTTTGTTTGGTCCCTTGAGAGAATGGTCTGCAGGGATTATAAGTATAGTTCCAATCACCTGAAACCACCCAGAACCTGTTGGACAAATGCAAGTGATACATGTTGGTGTAGCGAAATACCGTAGATCAAAATGGTAGGGGCACAACTAACTTAAATGTGAAGAGAACATCCGTCCACTCATTTTTCATATTTCAGTTTCCCAGTATAATTTTTACTTTAAGCAGCAAAATATAAAGTTTTAGTTATGCTCATTCTTGACCTTGGTGTTTAATATTATAATACCTCTAATCTCGAGGTCCAGTGAATTATTTACTGAAGCATTGAAACTTTCGACTTTCTTTATACGTCTCAAAGACTAAGTGCTGTCATGTGAATTATGTGTAATTTTCCAAGACAGCACAATGTGTTCTTTCTATTTTTATTTCGGTCCACTTCCTTGTTTTCAATCCCTAATCGTAGACACTTCCTGACAGTTTGAATGTTCTAGTATCAGTGGTAAATAAACAGTAAGATCATGCTAATCTTTGTGGATTGCAGTTAGACCAACTTTGCATATTGGATTTTCTATTCTTATCAGTATACAATGCCTGAAGTAATACCTCGGCTTTGCGTCCTTTCTTTCAAGAGCTGCTAGGTTATAGATTTTTCCGTCGAGGTCGTAACCAACACAGTCTTTGTCAGCTGGCGGGATAACGTGTGCGTTTGGTCTTGTCATGTTACCAGCTTTGGCTCCTTTCAACTTACGAAGCGAGGTAAATACCAAAAGACAGCTCATCAATCTTAAAACAACCCTCATCGTGTGCAGCAACTGCTACAACAAGATTTAGAACTATTAATTACCTGGATGTCTTGCAACTATAACAGAAATGGTTACTATGCATGATAAGAACAACCACGTAAACATCCACATGATGACACTCTTTGTCATATCTTGCGATGCAATATTACATAAAATAAGCTGCCATCTTAAAGTATTCTTATTGTTCGAGGCTTTTACTAACGCGTTGTCAAAAAATTAGGATGATAGAGTTGGGTTTTGATATCGCTTCTTATTGTCTACATCAGTAGTTAATTAGTACTTAATTAATACTTAATTACTATTTCTTTTGAGAGTTTTAAATACAGTGTACACTTTTCTGCAAAGTATTATGCATGTACAATAAACGCAATTTGTTGAGCACCTAATTAGTACCTTTAACTTTATAAAAAGTCAGTCTCTCTGAGTTATCTCGATGATGAAAACATCATTTATCTCAATCAATGAGGGTTCAGAGACCCTCTGACTTTCTATTGATCCTATTGTACTTCATCTCTTGATCAAGGACCCTATGTGGTTAAATTCTTTTGACACCTAAATGATATCGGCTTTCTGAGCATAATAGTCCTCTTAATTTATTAAAAATATACCTGCTCAGTAAATGTTGGATATAGAAACTGTGATTCTTTTTTGACGAACCCAGCCATTCGTGGCAAATGATTCAGTATTAATTTAACATTTTAGACTGTCTAGAACATTTCCAAAAGGTGTCTAAGATGCATTTCCTGTATTTAATCTAGTAGAATAACAAGTAAAAAATATAAATCATCCTGGCTTGTAAATCATAATAATGAATAGCAAAGTTCCTAATGTCGCTCCTTGAAGTACACTGGCCGAGATGGAATATGACTCTGGAGCAAAACCATTTAATACATAACCTGTTGCTTCCTGAACCATATAAGCCAGTAACAACTAAACCTGCTCTTTTTGCTTTTTTGAAGTCCAAAAAGAATAAGTTTAGATCTTACTGGCTTATGGATCAGGAAGCAACAGGTTATGTATTAAATTTACAAGGATGATTTGTATTTTTTTACTTGTTATTCGTGTTATTGATGATTTACTGTATCAAAGGCTTTCTAATTAATATTAAAAATACCCTTGCTAAATAAACGTTTCATAGCTTTTCTCCTTTCTTTTTCGCTTTTTCCAGCATTTACAATAGCATATATTAGCTTATATTAAAGATACGTTCACCAACGTTGAACCTTCAAATAATCTTGCTTTCGGGAATTTATGATGTCGCACACAACGATTCCTTTGTTATGTGACTCATAATTAGCACTTTGTCAGATTCTGGGTCATGTTTGTCTGACAGTATTACCTCTCCAATGGAATAATATTTATTTTAAAAAATGACTGCGTAAGAAACACGATTATATTGCTTTTTTAAACCATCTACATTGTAAATGCACCCAGACCCAAAAAAATTCAAAGTAAATAATATTTGTTCTGTAATAGCCACCACAAGAATGAGTCAGATTCACCGTTCTTTGATTTCATAATTTCGAGGCGTTACAAGTCGTCACAGAACGAGAGGGGAGAGAAACTTTCAGTAGGAGCCGGGGAAAGCCCCTTAAAGTAATTATGGACCCCTTGAGCATAAATTGTTCCTCCTATAGAGAAACCGTCTGTGAAGGATTGAAGTTAAACTACTTACTTCAAAACCCACTATAAATACTTTACTGCAAAACCAACAATTTAAATGGTTTCTAAATATTCTTGCTCAGCAAATATCGAGTGGCTTGAGATTTGCAGACTCTTGCAATTTGTATTGCAATGTAGCACTACTTCCGCTTTCGCTTTAAAACTGCAAGAGTTTTGAGCCGAAAAGATGATACCATCAAAATAATGAGATTACGAGGCGTTACAAGTCGTCAAAGAGCGATACAGAGCGGAGACAAACGTTGAGTAGGAGCCGGGGAAAACCCCTTATATAATAAACTAATTTTAAGCACCCCTTGAGCATAAATTGTTCGTCTTTTACAGAAACCGTCTGTGATGGATTGAAGTCAAACCACTTACTCCAAAAAACGAATATGAATACTGTACTACAAAACCAACAATTTAAATGGTTTCTAAGTATTCTTGCTAGGCAAATATTGAGTGGCTCGAGATTTGCAGAATCTTGCAAGTATTTTAATCAACAATGTAGCAATACTTCCGCTTTTGCTTTAAAACTGCAAGAGTTTTGAGCGGAAATGATGATGCCATGAAAATGATGAGATTCACCGGTGTAAGTTGAAGGCTTTCATTATATATATATAGATATATTTTAAAAAAATAGAGACATGACCTGTTCGTATCTTTTCATTCCTTGCTCGGTAAAAGCCAGGGAAGCTTCGGCTGCTCGAATGCAGGATCGATTGTGATAATTTATCGGTATAAATTGAATTAAGGTAAGTTTAAGTGATGTTAGTTTTCCCTACCTCAGATAGTTTGACAACTGGTTGGCATTAAGCTATCTTCCTTTCACGAAAAGGACCTTTCGTTTTTGTGCGCGTCGCCGTCGAAGCTCTTTTTGTTATAATCCTTGGTCAGCGGTTCAAAAGCGGGCAAAACCCACGTTTCTGATTGGCCACTCTTTAATCGAAAATGAAAGAGTAATCGTCTCAACAGTATGAATTCTTGGAAACCTGATAACACATTTGATGTCATCGCACTCAAAACAATCCATATCTCTTCAGTGAGAAAAGTTTTGCGGTCATCAGTACAATTTCTGACTGTAAGAGATATTGCTAAAATATGATGTCTTCCTAACAACTACATTGTAATTGAAAATCTAAAATGCAATCACGCGGAACACATTGCCATAGAGCTACTGTTGTTGATAGAAGTGTTAGCAAACTTGTTTAATAACGTAGCCAAGAACTTACTCTAATATCAATTTCTGATGGTATATATTATTTTTTGGTATCCATTAAAGCAATAAAATATGACTGAGTAATATTAGGTTTGCAAGAAAAAAGCGTCTGAACAGTTACATAGAAAATAAACCAACATCCTGTTTTCTTTGAAACATGAAGAATGTCCCGTGAAATAATTTTTGTTTCGCAGGAACCAGCACGCATGCAATGTAAATCGCATATCAAGGTTGACCAGTTTATCATAGGGAACTTCAATAAATTATGTCAAAAAAAGAGATCTCTGTAACGGCAGCTTTCGATGACAAATGCTGGCAAGCAAGCATGTATGTCGTCTGCAACAAGAAAAGATGAATAATTGGATAGGCACAATTTCAACGATGTAGTACCATGTTAGTGTAAATACTCCATCAATTTGCTTTGTTGGACGTTGCACATAAAGTGCAATACAATCGACTTAAAGTTCGCGTAATATCTAATTAAAGACTTTCCCGGAAAAGTGTGTTTTCAGCTAGCTTATTCAACCAGGGACCACTAGAAAAACAAAGACCAATTAAAAACCTCAAACCAAATACCCTCTCCTCCCTAAAACCTCTGTGCCAAATAATTTCTAAGAAGATAGATATGAATGGGTGCCTTGTTTTCAATTCAGATGCTTCAGTGGCCCTAACTGTTCACTGGGGCTAGACTCATGTTATGTGGGTGGAAGTACAAGACACTCGGATAGCGTGACAGCGGAAAGTAAAAGATAGCAAGCAAGAGCCTTACAAAAATTCAGGGTTATATACAGGGTCTGGAGAAAAAGAAGAAAAGTTAAGAGGGTGGCACTGACTACGAGAGACCGGGTCAGCTGCAACGTATCCACATCATATTTATTTGGATAATCAAACAGATAACAACTTTAAATGTATTGTTTTGCAAGGCGAAACTATAAATACACAACTTGCGAAGTAGAAAACTAGAGAGCGGATTACATATGGCAAACCTATTCAAATAAGGTCAATGTCTTTTGAACTATTTACAAGCTTTGAAATAAGCGCCCCTCCTCTCCTTTTCAATAAAATATTATGTATTTTGCGTTAATCTTGACAGCGATGCCTAAGGATAGCGTTACAGTGTAGTTCTTAAACAGGAAGTTGTTTACTGTTGATGTAGTTTTGTACCATAAACACTTAAATTTGTTCTTCTTCTCAAGTCATATTCTTTATTTATTTAGTTTTGAAATACTACAGTATGTGTTCAACTGTTATAGAGGTCACTTCGTAATAAGACCGAAGTTCGAAAAAACGTAATAATAGACAATTATTGGATGAGGCTTTTGTGATATCCAGAAAAATCACGGTCGAGGTAGGCTGAGGCTGATAACCCTTACTGAGACCTTGATTATTCTGGATATCACAAAAACCGAATCTAATAATTGCTTTATTATACATTGAACGAATTCTTTCTTTCTCGCTTCGACATAAAATGTATGTTTTCAAAGTTTGTGCCAACTCGTTCTTTTCTTAAAGTTCTCTCAGTTTTTTCTTTTTCACGTAAACAGCAAACAGCTCCTTTTCCACCTTGGCCAACCTTTTTGTGTTTTGTGAGTCCTTGTCTTCAACTATTTTTTCGATGAAGAAGTCAACGAAGCAAACTTGGAAGTCATGGTTTTGCTTCTTCACTTACGGCTAGCAACGCAAAGCGCGCGAACTTGACATGATTACCCTTAGAAATCATGTACCGCGGTCATACATGATTACCCGTGACCTTGAGTGTCCTTGACATGATTATTGTATAATCTGCAGCTAGATGACGTCCCAGGCGCTGATTTCGAAAATTCACTGTACGCTTTCGGCCAATCAGAAAAGAGACAGTGAGTTCAATGTATAATAATACCTAATAATAGAGAAATTTAGAGTAACGTTTACGGCAAACGGCAAACGTGAATATGTATAATGTGACCAAGTTTTCCCTTCACTTGTCTTTTACTGTTCATTACTTCTACACAAAAACAAGTAATTCCGTGGCATTTTTATCCATGAAAATTGTTTTAAACTGTTTTTTTACGTGGTTATTTTCTACACCTGTTTTTCTTTATTGAGGAATTCTCCCAACTTGAAATTGCCGTAAACTGTGACTCTAAATCTCTGGGCTTATAGTATCAAATCAGCACGCTTTCGAGTCGTTGATTGCACTGCTTTTTTTCATTTAGAACTCGAGACGCCCTTTTTCATCCTTTTTTTTTTCTGATTTTTGTTTCATGATTATTTTCATAACCCCTAACCGTGATTGCTGACATCATAGCTGCTGTTTTTCCGGGCAATAATGTGGATTCAAAGGCTTTGTCTACGGTCACAGATTAAATATTCGGAAATATTTGCTCTCTGCATCCGATGACTTTGATTTTTTATTTACTGAACTAATCCCATGTAATTGAAAAAAAATATTTCTTGGTAAGCCATTTGTTGCTGGAATTTTATAATTAATTTTGATAACAAAAGAGGTCTACGTTTCTCATGAGATAACATGTATATTTTTCTAGTGAATGCCTACACTTGTAGTTCCCACAGACTGAGTGTTGTGATGACTTCAGAGATGATCGGGAAGATGTGCTAGTTATTAACCTGAGATCAGGCGTTATTATTATTATTATTATTATTATTATTATTATTATTATTATTATTATTATTATTATTATTATTTTTGCTTCTTTGCTTCTTTGGGGGAGAGGGCATGATCACAGGCTAGCCAGTTATAAGCTGGTGATTTCATGAAAATGAGACAGGTCAGTGTCCTGGTCCGCTTCGCCGGGACCAGGCGCTGGCTTCAAAAGTAGTAACACTAACTGCGTGTATTAGCAATCTTTCAAACTAGAGTTAAATTGTCAGGTAACAAGAAAAGGGTAAATTTAAATCGTATGTTCATGTCAGTATATAATTGAATATTTACACAAAATATACACACAAACATTTCCCTCAAACAAACGTGTATGATTAAAAAGAAATTATCAAAAATTCTAAACATTCTAAACAGAGAACAAGAACGTTACATCAGAACGTTTCACGCCGTAGTCGTGCAGGAACTTGCAGGGACGTCAAAGAACTTGTACCAAAAAGTGTATGACGCTCGTGTAAAGTTGTGGTTTTGCTAATTAAACCTATTGGCATTTATTTTTGTCATTGCTGCGGTCGGCGCCATTGTTTTGCAAACTCCCTAATGTTTATGACAGGTGTGATCGTCTGAACTCCAAAACGTAAAGTTACAAATGAGGGCCCGGCAATACTAGCCTGTACACAGACGTTGCTTTATTTTTCTTTTCGATAATCGGCGAGGGCCAATGCAAAGCGCGAATTCCCGCGATAGGTGGACTTCTAAGAAAACTCAGAGGGCCTGTGAACAGGCTAGGCCATTACAGACTCTAGATAACATATACATTGTCATGACTAGCAAAAAACGCGATTTTCGGTCGTTTCCCTGACTCCAAGTTATAAAATGTGCGGGAGAGCCGTGTCTTTACATGATCATGACGTTTTACAGAAATTGGGGCAAACATAACCACTGATAACTAAGGTACCAAGACGTGGAAAGCGAAACGGGGAACGGCAAAATAAAAAAAATAGCAACAAAGCCTGACTTAAACCGTAGCCCTATCAGTAACTTCGTTGGGCACTATTTGTTTTGTCCTCTATTTTTTATAATCATCATTTCTTTCCCGTGCTCGTTCCCCGTTCCCCGTACCTCGTTTTAGAAATATATCCCTTCAGACGTCTGGATTCTGGGATCGGTGGTTCTGTTCTCTATTGTTAATTCTGGCATTACTCGAGAAATTACTATAATTACTATTAGCCGCGTTACGATTCTCGGACGAATCGTGAGGCTGAATTGGTAAATCATGCATCGCCTTCAATAATGTGGTTGGCAGCGTAGTCGTTCCTAATATTTTCAGGAATTAAAGCCTGACGTTCGTTGTTGGGATCATTCTGTCTCCTGATACATCGCCAGATTGTTCTTCGGTAGATAAACAAGGGAATGGCAATAACAAGAAATGAAAGGGCAATAATCACTGGTACAGAGTACTTAGGTTCCCCAGAAGATTCACCTGAATAAAAAAAGGAATGAATATTTGTACACAGTAATTTTTAAGGAGGTTTTTTTTTCCTCTAGTGGGGTTAGTGGAGTTATTTTTGGGGGGAGTTATTTTAACTCCAAAAAGGAGTTTAAAGAACTCTTTTTCAGGAGTAAAAATCACTCCAGATATTGAGGAGTTAAACTAACCCCAAAAGAGGAGTTATCCTGTACCTAAAATTTTTACTCCACTTTCAGAGTTAAGTAACTCCAAAAAGAGTAAAAACAACCCATGCAAGGAGTAAAATTAGCCCCATTTTCGGAGTTATTTTAACTCCAGAGTGGGGGTTGAAAGAACTCTTTCTCAGGAGTTAAATTAGGAGTTAAAGTAACCCATAAAAGGGGTTATCCTGAACCTAACATTTTTAATAATTCCCTGAAAATTACTGTGTATCCAATGGAATTTACCTTGTAATCTCGGTTATTTAGCTATTTAGATGCTAAAAGTAAAATGTGCTCAGAGACCAATTAATTACAATTGACAATAGACGGATCGAAAGTTCGAAACGCACCAATTACTGATTACGAGTCTTCATAGCCAATAACATCGCGGC